TCTGGAGGACAGGGAGGAGGTGGAGGACTGGTCCTGGTCCTGGTTTTTATGGGTTCTCAGCTTTTATTCCTATAACTCTGTTCACGCTGCTGTTTAAAAGTGTGTGAACAGTGATTGAAGCTAAAACAAACTGACAGCATCCTCCATCCCAGCTGCAGGACCAGCAGCTTCACTCTACAGCGGGGGTGTCAAACATACGGCCCGCGGGCCAAAACCGACCCGCCAGAGGGCTTAATCCAGGACGACTTTGCCAAGTGTTCCTTAATAGTTCCCCTTCAGTTTGCGTGGGGTGGTGTGTCCGTTCAGCTGATGTAAATTTAAATAATCTCTCAATCCTGACACGTTGTTTTGATCATAGAGTCAAACACTGCATTGTCCAGATCCAGATAAATGTTCTGTGCCTTTCAGACCCACTCTGATCTGTTGGTTGGACTGCACACGTGTAAATGATACGGAGGCATAAGACTGCTGAAACTGCGCTCATTTTTCTCAAGAAACTTCAGGTTTTCGGCCCTCTTGAGATCACATTGGCCTGCATGTGGCCCCTGAGCTAGAATCAGTGTGACATCCCTGCTCTCACACAGAACATACTCCTGACATGCTTTATTATTTTTCCCCACCATTAAAAAACTGTGTGGTCCTAATTAGTCCACTGACAGGCGCTGGCCGCCCATTGGTTCTCCACGTGACTTCCCCGCGGCCCCGTCGCTTTCCACCGCTAATTCAATCACACAGCAGATGTAGGAATGATCCCTGTGACGGGGACATTACGGCTGATTAGCGGCCTCACCGTGGACATGGAGCAGTGGTCCAGCGTCTCGTCAGCGAACAGCACGGCGTCCTTAATGAACACGGCGCTGGCTCTCAGGACGAAGGAGGAGAACAGGTTGATGTGGATGTAGTTCCTGGTGCAGCGGAACTTCCTGTGTAGCAGAAAAATCCAGACAGCTTCATATACAGCCGTCCTCAAATGTATTCACACCCTCCCATTAAAGGAAGAAAAAAAACAGCTGAAATAAGTTGAAATTGATGAAAGTAATAATAAATGCACCTGTTGACAGGTATTCTGATCCACTGCTCATCAGCAAAGCGTTCTCATTTGTCCGGGACAGTTTTCTTTTTTTTTAATTATTCTTTTCGACCACAATTCAGAAGCAACGTCTTATTTCACTAAATTATAATTTAGCAAATTTTTATTTATTATTCCTTTTGTTAGTTTCTAGTTATTTGAGTGACTGTTGTGAATTTTGTCTTTTCTTTAATGGAAGGGGATGAATTTATTTGAGGACGACTCTATGCAGTATTTTAGAAAACAGAGAGACGTACAAACTATTTGAAGTTTCATGTGTAAGATGACTGACGGGCCTCTGAACACTTCTAGTAAAGCTCTGCGATGCTGCTCTGCTGCTCTAAACGTGCACATTTCAGATCTCAACTACACAAATATCGAGTGAATGAGGGTCCGAGCACCGTGCTGTGTTTACTGCCCTGTTGTCGTCTCACCTGAAGGCTGCGAACACCGCTATGGCCGTGATGAGGGAGATTAGCGAGGTGGCATAGCCGACGGTGTACACCTGCCTGAATGTGTAGAGGTAGCTCGTCTGGAGACGCACAGACAGAGAGTTGAAATCAGAGAAAACAGAGACAGTGAATACAGTGTTTAGCAGATTTGTTAGACCACCTGTCTCCCTTATTAATCCCTGTATGTATATATTAATATCTTCATGAAGGGCTTCAACGCCACTCAGCTCTCCTCGTTTCACCGTTCTGAACAGGAATGAGGAATTTAAACTGAATCCACCTTTTTATAGCCAAACCTGAGCAGCTCACTGGACTTCTCTGAGAAACTGATCCAGCATCACATTCATCCACTAAAACTAATGTTTCTGTTCAGGAATGCAGGTAAATAATCTGACATCTGGATCAATAAATAATAATGAGCTTTACTGTTTTTTCTGCTTTTGGATAACAACAATAATTATATTTTAGCATTAAAAACATCATTTAGGTTAAAGATCTTCTACATGCTGGTGTATGAACCATTACAGAGACATGAGAGATGATTAATGTTGGCCAGCTGTGGCGTGAACCTGGAGGTCTGATACGTTTGTTAAGCTCTGAATATGGAGATACAGTCAAATGCATGAATGAGAAATCATGAAATATGAAAAAAAAAGTGCTTCCATTGTTGCATGTATTAATGATCAATCATAAAATATTAAAGGTTTAATGCAGTTGTGATGAAATATTAAAAAAAATAAAAATTAAGCACATACTCTAAAGAAGATCTCAAGAAAATTGTTTGCAAATCGGCCCGACCTTCTTCTTCTTTTTGCTGGAAGCCCAGACTTCTAGCCGTGATCTGATTCTGACTCTGAGACAGAAGTCAGGAAGCAGAAACACTGATTACAGATTGTCGGCGTACCTCAGACTCCGGCTCGCTGTCGTCGCTGAAGGCGCAGGCCTCCTCGTAGGGCGGGTACATGTCCGACCAGCCGTCCACGGTGCAGTTCCTGTAAACGAAGCCTGGCGTGGGAGGAGACGGCAAACAGGAGAAAGTCAGTGTCAGGCAGTTTAAACGCCACGAGCGTCCGGTTTCTTTACACCCACATAGATTTTAAAACACAAGCATCACAGCTGGCAGATGCTGAGATTAATTAAACGCTCCTTGAAGTCTTAATCTGATTAAAACGCTTCGGTTCTTTTGGGTCAAGCTGAGACGCTGAAGGCTGCTCGGCTGTTGAGAAAGTTTCTAACTTTCCTCCCGTCATGCCGGTCGACTCTGTCATCAGTCACACATCCTGATCCTGAGCTCCGCAGAACCTGAGCTACAGTTGGAACATTTCATTTGTCTGTTTCCTCGATCGCTCTAAAACCCAGAATCCTCTTTACAAACCCAAACTCGTACATTTCTCAGAGCTTAAAACTGATTTTTTTTTGGCCTACTGGGGAAAGTGGGAGCAGGTTGTAAACGACAGACATTACCCTTTTCTAATCTGATACGGCAAACTTCTTACCATCCATCTGGATTAAGTCCAACATTCGCTCTTTTTTTTTTGTTATTTAGGCCTGTGTTTGGTCTCCACCAACTCCTGAGGGAAATATCTGGCTGTTTATCTGCTGAATTCTCCATTATACGTTATTGTAACTCCATCTGTTCGGGGCTGAGCAGGTAGCGCACAGCGGGCTTTAAGAGCTTTTTATTGGAAACCACTGTCTGCTGTGAGGACACCTAATATAAATCCCCCTGAAGCCGAGGGGAGCTGCAGAGCGCTGACTCTCTGTGGGTTCGTCACTACGAGCCACGCTGTTTTCACATCGCGTCTGATAATATGAAGTCATTCAGTCGGAGCGCCACAGTCCTCTCAAACCAACGAGCAGCACAAAGTCGGTAAAAGTCTCCTTTTCCTGCTTCAGCTGGTCCTGCTTTAGGTTCTACATCAGATAGAAA